GTTTTATTCTTCCTTCTCAGGATTGCTTTGGCTATTTGGGGTTTGGCTATTTTAGAACTGTTTGCTCTAGTTCACTGAAGAATGCTGTTGGTATTTTGATAGGGATTGCACTGAATCTGTAGATTGCTTTAGGCAGGATAGCCATTTTGACAATATTAATTCTTCTTATCCATGAATACAGGATGTGTCTCTATTTATTGGTATCTTCTTTAATTTCTCTTAAGAGTGTCTTGTAGTTTTCACAGTATAGGACTTTCATGATGCAACTGTAAATGAAATTATTTTCCTCCACTCCTAATTATTAAAAAGCATCTCCAAAATAATATTTTTCTTACCCACAGTAGCACTACCATAAACAAAACTATCAATAATTCTAAGTAGCATCTATTAACTAAGCCATATTTATATTTTCCAGTTGTCGCAACTGTCTTACTATTGGTTTGTTTAAACCAGAATACAAATAAGGGTCCCATCTTCGCATTTGCACTGCATTTGGTTGTTACGTCTCTTTAGTCCCTTATTTTAAAATAGTGTCTACCCACTCTCTCATGTCAACTTCCCCCACCCACCAGTGACATTCTCTTACTGAGGAGAACAGGCCAGTTGTCCTATAGAGTGTTTTGCCTCTGGATCTGTTCCATTCAATCTCTGGATTTCCTATAAATTAGATTCTTTATAAACCCTAAAGATTAAAGCTAAACATTTTGACTAGAGCAGTTCATCAGGGTGCTGAGGATTCTGTAGGCTCTATCTAGCAGTCCCACAACTGATGCTGGCTTATGACAACAGAGCTCAGAATTTCATTAGTGAGGGAACTTTTGAACTCTCATTTCCTTTTATTGTCATTGAGAAAACTAGCTCCAGAAAGACCATGACTTGTCCAAGAGATTTTAGGGAGTTAGTGACTTGACTCAGGTCAGACCCAGGAGCTTGATCCTGTTCTCAGCCTCTCACCACTATATCCTGTTACTTTCTGCCATGATTACCTCTGTGTTTGTGTTTAGGCTAACTCTGTTTTTAAATATATTATTCAGTGTTGATTTTCTAAAATGGATGTTTAAATGACTTAGGATCTTCAGAAAGACCAAAAATAGCATAAACAGTAACCAAATTATAGCTGTCCATATAAATATAAAATTTCGATTAGTATAGAAGACCTTGGTTCTATGGTAAAGTTTTAACTGAATTTTCTTTGCAATACCTAATGTTCAGGTGTTCTTTACTTTCTTCTGCTGGCCAGGAAGGTGATAAGCTAGAGTTCTCAAACTCCCAAAGCATAGCACTGACAGATGAAAAATCATTGATTGCTGCTAGAACAATTATTCAAGTGTACAGTAAATAGTAATAGGTGACCAAATACAACAAATGCTTCCAAGGCATGATGCAAATGACTCTATAATTTTACATTAGGTTAATTGATAATCTAAAAATGACCATTACTTTATTAGCCTTTTTGGAGACATAGTATTTCTTATACTTAATACTTGGCTCAAAAGTATTACATTTTAGATATTAATTAGTACCTTTTAAGATTATAGAATTGGCATTTCCTTATAGTAGGCCCTGTAATAACTTAGGTCTTCTGATCCAGGTTCTTGCTGAGTCACATCTGAAGCTGTGTCCTTTTTCTCCTGTTAGGAAGATGGTGCAGCTTAGATATGCAGGCTCCCAAGCATGACAAAGGGGTGGAGACGCCGTGCAGTGGGGCTCGCTCTGCATCAGTGTGGGATTTTTAAGGCCACCATGATGTGTGGAACGGCAGTATTTATAATTACACTTTCAGCTATTATAATTACACTTTCAGCTTTCTTGGCTACATTTTAATGTTGCTACAGGATAATTTGCACTTATTGAATGTTTCCCATCAATAGAGGAAAGACTAAGAACTGTACTGAGAATTTAACTTCAGCAGGAAACCTTGGCTATATGTCAAATAAAATTTGTTGTTCTATTAATAGTCATTCTTAGATATTTTCCTTTTACTGCATTTATGTAACTTTTCAAATGTCTATATAAATACTGCTAAGCCTTAAAGCTACTAGATGTTTTAAAGATATATTTTCATTGTGTTGAATTAACATAATACCTTTATTGTGTTTCCTTATTTCTTTATTTTGTCACAGAGAAGTACTATATTTTCACTTAGCTTATTATTTCTGTCTCTTCTCTGAAGGTCCATATTGGTTATCTTCCTAACAAGCAAGTGCTTGGCCTCAGCAAACTTGCAAGGTAAGTATGACTGTGTGATGGATAGGAAAACAGATTTTATAGGAGCTGCCCCTATACAGTGAGCATCTCATTAGGCTTTTCTTTCTCTACCATTGCGGCTCTAACTTGGAAGTTACATTGCAAATTAAAATTTCTAGTTGCGGAGACCAACAGACTTAGAGGACCTTTGATTCAAATGCCCATTTCTTCTCATTCTCCGATGGCCTGCCCTCCTGCCCCACCTTCCACTGCTTCTTCCACTGGCACATCCTTGAAGTCTTCACTCACCCTTTCTCTGTAGAGCCTTCCCTGACTGAAGAGGACCCAAGGGTGCTTCAGTCCAGCCACTGTCCTATAAGGGTGGTTTAGCAAACATTGAGGGATGGGAGAGGAACCTGGGCAGGGTCTAACTGCACTGCACTGTTTCCAAATGTTTAATCAGACAATCTTTTGGGGTCACACTTCTGCCTCCCCCTGTACTGGCATACCCCTGGAGTCCTGCAGAGCCAGGAAGTTCACTTCTGGCTTCTTTGCTTCTGCAAACACAAGCTCGTTCCTTTCTCAGCTCTATTCCAAGACAATGCTTACTCTTTTCCCCTCCTTTCTGCTACAGTCTTCTTTTCTGTTCTTTATCCTGTGGGTTCATGTCTTTTAAAAAATTCCTTTGCTACCATTTTTATTTGGGTTTTAGGAAGGGCAGATGATACACAAGTATGGTCATCTGTGTTTAGCTTAAGTCAAATTGAGCTTTCATGTTCATATACCTCTACTAGGCCCAGCCCCTAATATTTAATTGCCCCTAAATATCCTTTTTTTGTAATGTCTTTGTATAGACTTAGTGAGTTCTGGGTGATGGTGAAATACTGGGAGGGGTGTGTGTATGTGGAGAGAGAGTTAAGAACAAAATGAAGGAATAGGTTATGAACATGTGGTCAAGTATCTCCCTGACCCTACCTTTTTAAAAATAAACCGAGATAAATTTGGATAACCTGATTAAGTTTGTAGTGACCATATCAAAACTGGAATAAATTAATCTTTGTGATCAAGTGCCTGTTCTGTGGCTGTGATGTTCCTACTTCTTTTCTGCTTAGACACTGGGATTCATCACAATCCTGAAATGGTGATACAGGTATTTTCCAATTCTATGTTGGATTCTGTAAAAACCACCCCAGCAATCTGACAGTTGCATTCACAGCTGTTCTTTTTACTTTGTTTTCACTTACATTTTCTCACTCATTTCCTCTAGGGATTAATGAGAACATAGGTAGAAGAGAGACATTTAACTCCCAGTTTCTGACCTCATTCCTCCTCAGCAGTCTCTCCACCAGACAGGGCTATTAGATAATACCTGCAATTACTTCACTGCAATAAGGCTGTTAACACAAACCTGGAAACATTGCCACTCATCAGTGATCTCTACCCAGTGGCAGTGCCAGGGAGTGGCTGAAAAAGGGTATTGGTGGTAATAAATCCTACTCTAATTTCTATTAGCAACTCCTCCCCAGTAGCTTACTCCCAAATATATAAAGTTATGTTGACTGTGGATAAAAGTGTCTTTACTAAAATTGGCTATTCTTACCCTTTAATACACAGTCTAAGAAAAATCAGCATGCTTGCTGTGCAAACATAGCTAGCTGTAGGCCCAGGCCCCTGGTGCCCTCTGTTCCAGCATGATTGCCAACCCATATGCATTTTTGTATAGTAATTCTGCAACTGTTGATGCCTATAACAGGCTGTCCACATGTGAATGGAGTGTAGTGGATAGTTTTCATATTATAAAGATGCTTTGCAGACCACCAGGCCTTGGTGTTAATGTAAGCAAAGTTTTCTTCAATACCACACTGTGTAGACCATGGGTAACACTTTATTGAAATGGATTCTTGAGTGATCCTGTGAGATTTTGGAATAAATGATAACTTGTGGTAGAAGGGAATAATTTTTAGTTATTTCCTTTCCTAGTGAAAGGAAAAGGTGTCAAATAATTACGGTTTCATGAAACAAAGGAATTTATTTTTAGCATGGGGGTTTATCTTTATAGGATCAAAACTTAAGGAGAAAATGGAATGCTAAACCAAAGAACTGAGTGTGTGTTACTTCCAGGTATTTTGTTTAAAAAAAAATTGAATAAAGCTTCTACTAAATGGAAAGAAGACTAAGATTTTTACCCAACTGCTTATTATTCCTTATAAGAAGTAGGAATATTTAGGGAATGAAGAGTAATAAAACTGAATGTCTTAGTAAAACTTCACTGCTCATTTTAATCTTGTATATGAAGTTTGTTATATACTTACCTTTAAACGAATGACCTTTCGGTGCCAGGGAAGTCAAATATCAAACAGAAAAGCCTTAAATAACAAGAAAATGCCAGAAGTGAGTTGATCTGGTTTAACTCTAGTTGAATTCTAGAGCAAACTTAGTTTGTTGCTGAAAATCCATTGAACATATATTAGTTTTCTTGCCTTAGATTAATTGAGTGAACCTAATTTAAATATAGAATTGTAGTACCTTGGGGTGGTCACGGTTAATCTGTCTATTGAGCACCTACTGCTCCAGCTACTGTGGCTGCAGGAGAGACTAGGACACAATCGCTGACCTCAAGGAGGATGGGCAGTGTGAGGCAGCAGGTGCCACAGAAGGGTGTGGTTTGGAGCTCTGAGTTCAGAGAAGTCCAGATGGATGTCGCCTGATGAGGCTGAAGAGACCCAGAGGTAGAGGGCTGAGGAGGATTTGAAATAGAAGAGAGGTGTCCTCTCTTCTATCATAGTTAATGCATAAGCAAAGGCAAATAAGAGGGTAGGAGCAAGGCATATTCATGTGGATAGGGAGCATATTGATTGATAGAAATAAGAGATTTAGGCGGGGCACCTGGGAGATAGTTAAAAAGTAGGATGGGCATTAGATTACAAAGGGAACATTCTTTTTTCCTCTTTCTCTCTCATATAAAACTAACATGCCAGTTAACCTTAAACACAAATGAGTGAATAAAAGACAAAGCTTTTCTTTATTATTTCTATTCCCCAGAATTAAAAGCAGAGATTTTTTTCACTTTCCTTCTGGAAATTTTCTATTCAATTTCATGTAGCAAACAAAAACATACAGCTCTTTAAAACTAGCAAAACAAAAAACAAAAAAAACGGGAGATCATACCCTATATTCTATCCTATAACTTTTTAGTTTTTTAATCTAAAATACCTTGAAATCTCTTGTACATCTTTTAGCCCAAAATGTTCAAGTTCCTTTTAATGGCAAGATAGTGTTTCTTTGATTGATTAGTACAATTCATTTAACTAGTCTTTGATTTTAATGAGAACATAGGTAGAAGAGAGACATTTAACTCCCAGTTTCTGACCTCATTCCTCCTCAGCAGTCTCTCCACCAGACAGGGCTATTAGATAATACCTGCAATTACTTCACTGCAATAAGGCTGTTAACACAAACCTGGAAACATTGCCACTCATCAGTGATCTCTACCCAGTGGCAGTGCCAGGGAGTGGCTGAAAAAGGGTATTGGTGGTAATGGGGGTAATAAATCCTACTCTAATTTCTATTAGCAACTCCTCCCCAGTAGCTTACTCCCAAATATATAAAGTTATGTTGACTGTGGATAAAAGTGTCTTTACTAAAATTGGCTATTCTTACCCTTTAATACACAGTCTAAGAAAAATCAGCATGCTTGCTGTGCAAACATAGCTAGCTGTAGGCCCAGGCCCCTGGTGCCCTCTGTTCCAGCATGATTGCCAACCCATATGCATTTTTGTATAGTAATTCTGCAACTGTTGATGCCTATAACAGGCTGTCCACATGTGAATGGAGTGTAGTGGATAGTTTTCATATTATAAAGATGCTTTGCAGACCACCAGGCCTTGGTGTTAATGTAAGCAAAGTTTTCTTCAATACCACACTGTGTAGACCATGGGTAACACTTTATTGAAATGGATTCTTGAGTGATCCTGTGAGATTTTGGAATAAATGATAACTTGTGGTAGAAGGGAATAATTTTTAGTTATTTCCTTTCCTAGTGAAAGGAAAAGGTGTCAAATAATTACGGTTTCATGAAACAAAGGAATTTATTTTTAGCATGGGGGTTTATCTTTATAGGATCAAAACTTAAGGAGAAAATGGAATGCTAAACCAAAGAACTGAGTGTGTGTTACTTCCAGGTATTTTGTTTAAAAAAAAATTGAATAAAGCTTCTACTAAATGGAAAGAAGACTAAGATTTTTACCCAACTGCTTATTATTCCTTATAAGAAGTAGGAATATTTAGGGAATGAAGAGTAATAAAACTGAATGTCTTAGTAAAACTTCACTGCTCATTTTAATCTTGTATATGAAGTTTGTTATATACTTACCTTTAAACGAATGACCTTTCGGTGCCAGGGAAGTCAAATATCAAACAGAAAAGCCTTAAATAACAAGAAAATGCCAGAAGTGAGTTGATCTGGTTTAACTCTAGTTGAATTCTAGAGCAAACTTAGTTTGTTGCTGAAAATCCATTGAACATATATTAGTTTTCTTGCCTTAGATTAATTGAGTGAACCTAATTTAAATATAGAATTGTAGTACCTTGGGGTGGTCACGGTTAATCTGTCTATTGAGCACCTACTGCTCCAGCTACTGTGGCTGCAGGAGAGACTAGGACACAATCGCTGACCTCAAGGAGGATGGGCAGTGTGAGGCAGCAGGTGCCACAGAAGGGTGTGGTTTGGAGCTCTGAGTTCAGAGAAGTCCAGATGGATGTCGCCTGATGAGGCTGAAGAGACCCAGAGGTAGAGGGCTGAGGAGGATTTGAAATAGAAGAGAGGTGTCCTCTCTTCTATCATAGTTAATGCATAAGCAAAGGCAAATAAGAGGGTAGGAGCAAGGCATATTCATGTGGATAGGGAGCATATTGATTGATAGAAATAAGAGATTTAGGCGGGGCACCTGGGAGATAGTTAAAAAGTAGGATGGGCATTAGATTACAAAGGGAACATTCTTTTTTCCTCTTTCTCTCTCATATAAAACTAACATGCCAGTTAA